CCGGAGCTGGGTGGGGGGGGGGGCAATAGAGTTTCCCTGGTGTTGGCCAGAGTTGGCCATAGTAAGTTCGAACTAGGCTTAGTCCTCGTAGAATGAGGTTTACCTAGTTCGAACTAAGCGCTCCGCTAGTTCAAATTAAGTTCGAACTAGCGGAGCGCTAGTGTAGCGCCTATCAAAGTTAATTCGAACTAACGTCTGTTAGTTCGAATTAACTTTGTAGTGTAGACATACCTAGCGTGATTTAGAGGGGGCTTGAACCATTATCAGTTGCTCAAATGGCGGAAAAGCCTCTTCTGAAAAAAATAGCAGAAAAAGCTACGCAAAATGCAGAGCTTTTTCTGATAAAGCCCTGTAGTCTAGACCTAGCCTAAATTCTAGAGTTTCCATTCTCCTAAAAGTTTCCTATTTCCCCTGTATCTGAATTCTCTTTCCTCAGGGTTAGAAGGCAGACGGGACCAGTGTGAGGTGCCCAGAGACCCCAAATACCCTGACTGCTCTGGAAAAGTGGAGGTGAGTCATCTCACGACAGACACATGAAAATGATTTTGAGGCAACTTCCTATGGAAAGAAGGCAGTCAATGGCTGTGACGGGTTCTATTTCCATCTTGACTACTCTCCTACCCAATGCTATCCAGGAAGGGATCAAGATCTTCTTTCCCATTAGCTACAGAGTGGGTTAACCCCCATTTTTATGAATAAACATGTGAACTCCATGCCTTGGATCAGATCACCAGCTATCAGTGGGAATGGTACCACTTTCCCTTCTGAGTAGAGATGTCTACAATGCTATGGAGAGCCACATCTTCTGTTTTACTTGATGGCCTGGTGAATTAATCCTCCTTCCCCCTGCTATCTTCTAAAAACAGGTCTTAATGGTTGGAGTGAAAATTAAGACCTGGATGGAAGCCAGAGCCAATGGCAACAAAGCAATTGCCAGGGTAAAATGAGAGAACCGGCAATCCAAAAGGTGGGATGGATTAGGACAGTAGTGGGTCATGGAATGCCAGGCCTTGGGTCTCGTTGCTGCAGGGAGAACAATTCCTGTCCTGGCACTGCAGACTGTGCTGCACCCCAGGAGCAGCTGGCAGCAAGCCCGGCTCCTAGGTGAGGATTGGGGGCAGAAGAGTGCATAGGGCTCTGTGCACTGCTCCTGCTGTGAGCACTAGCTTTGCACTCCCATTGGCCAGAACCTGCTGTTGGCTGCTTCTGGGGACAACATGGTCTGCAGTGCCAGGAAAGGCAAGAAGCTGCCTTAGTGCCCCTGCTGCACCGCTGACCAGGAGCTGCTCAAGGTAAGCCCCTCCTGCACCAGCCCTGACTCCCCCAAAGCTGGAGCTCCCATCCTCAGGCCCACTCCGGAGTTATCACTCTAGTCAAATTATGTTGGGTCACGGGCATAAACAATTTTCTTCAACTGGGCAATGAGAAAAAAAGTTTTAAAACCACTAGGTTAGGAAATGGCTGATGATCCCTTTAAAATCAAGTAAAATTCTCCCTTTCACCCTCTCACTGTGTAAACGTATATCAGGCTCAGCTTCCCATTACACAGACAAGAACATAATGCTCCCATTCAGAGTGCACTAGAGGATCAGGCAGCAGAACATGTGGTGCATGTGTTGTGGAGGGAGAGCGCAGAACAAAGCAACTCATTGAGAGTGGACAAAGAGCTGGGCATCCTTTGTCTACAGCTCACTAGGTGTTCATGATTAATGTGGCCAGGCCTTTATGTCTTGTTGAATTATTTAAGCATGGAGCCTGGCAAGGGAAAGAACCATCAGATTAAAAAAAAAATCTGGAGCATTATCAAGTGTCTGGGAAATAATTTAGGCATCACAAAAGACATTGTATTTCATAAGGGTAACGTGACACGAGTCTCAACTCTCAACACAATGTGCTCTCAGATGAGCATACCTTTGTCAGTTGGCCTGGGGCATGCTGCTGCTTTGGCAGTCAGCAGCTTTACGTGAAGTAATTAAAACAGGGTGGGCAATAATTTTTGGTGGGAAGGCCACCCCAAGATTGTGGAAAGCAGTTAAGGGCCACACTTTTCTGTGGAGGAAATGCAGGGTCTAGAGTGGAGGTTGGGTACAGAAAGGTGCATGGGGTAAGGGACTGGGGTGTAGGAGACAGCGTGAAGTCTGAGAGGGAGTTGGGTGAAGGAGGGGGTTGTGACCTGGGTCAGGGGATTGCAGTGTAGGGTCAGGCAGGAAATATAGGTGCAGGAGAGGATTCTGGCCTTGGAGAAGGGTGTAGGAGGAAGTACAGGGTCTGGGAGGGAGTTATGACCTTGGGCCGGGGGGGAAGGTAGAAGGTTTGGATGGTGATTTGGGGGAGGGATTGGGGTGGAGGAAGGGTAGGGGTGCCAGAGGCAGGCTCTGGCTTGGAGACACTTGCATCTCCCAGCCAGCAGCCCTGAAGCACTCCCAAGGCAGGCTGGGCTCCCTGCCAGCTGCAGCCCCAGACCACTTGAAAATGCAGGCTCTTCCCTCCATGTGGCTTTCAGCTCAAGGAGGGGGGAGAGACTTGTGCTGCTCCTGTCCCATGTGTTTGTTCCCAGCCAATAGGAACTGAGAGATTGACTGGGGTCAGTTCCTATTGGCCGGTTGTTTCTGGCCAATAGGAGCTGAAGATTAGACTAGAAGTGGGGAGCTCACATGAAGCCTCCTCCTTCTACCAGAGCAGACAGGCACACGGAGCAACCCTGGCTTAAAACAGTGGTTGCTGTGTGTCTGAGGGTCATGGCAGGAGGGTCCAGGGGTTGGATCCCATGAGCTGGCAGGCCAGATCCGGCCCTTGACACATATCTTGTCTACTCCTGAATTAAAAGTTTGCCCAGCTTCCTACTTCAGTCTTCACTTAAATTATGCCTTGCTAAGTCCACGTGAAAAATATTAAAGAGCTTATTAATAGGACAGCACAGTTATATTTTTCATTCTCCCAGTACTCACCATCATAGAATCATAGGGCTGGAAGAGACCTCAGGAGGTCATTGAGTCCAGCCCCCTGCCCAAAGCAGCCCTGAGTTCAAGAAGGTGGCTTTGTCCATGGCTCTACACTGCTTTTCACTAGCTAGGGCTCTGCACTGTTATGTCAGTAGTGCCATTGCAAAGGCAGTGTTTTATCCTGTTGTGCATTCCAGGCATCGCAGATGATGCATTAAAAAAGGCTTGTTCAGAATTTTTGACAAACCCTTTTTTGGCAAAACTGAAACTTTTAATGGACACCTATTGTTATCATTGCAACTTTTGTTAGGAAGGTTTCTCAGATCCAGGATGAAATTTCTGGCTAAAAGTAGAGACAGACCAGGACTTAAACTTGGGCTTCTCACCTCCCAGCTGAGTGCCCTAAACATGGGATATTGGCCATTTGGATCGAAGACTCTCATGGGTTTCTGTGAAACATTTTGAAAGATCTCATTTTTCATTCTGATGTGGAATGATAAATATAAAAAACCTGACATTTTTCACAAGACAGAACTCTTGCTTTCCAGCCAGTTCTAGTGCTAGAAGAGTGGTACTACACATTACCGCCTGCAGGCAGGACAAAGTATCACACTCCTAGCATATATATAGTAGCCCAGTGTCTATGACTCTGTAATGCTGTAACATTGTCTGTTGCCTCTGGGCAGCACTGTTGCCTCTGTAATGTCCTTCACATCCCGCCATGGCGCTCGGCTGACTTCTGCGCCACTCAGGAGCAAGCAGCACAAATGGCCGTTTGGGCTCTGCGGTCCCCATGCAGCATGGGGGTTCTGCACGGGGACCACAGAGCCCAAACAGCCATTTGGGCCACTTGCTTCTGCACTGTGGACCGGATGAGCAGCGCAGAAGTCAGCCAAGCGCCATGGCGGGAGGCGAAGGGGGGTGGGGCGGTGACGTACACGGCCAGGAGGCAGGGCCTGGACAAGCGTGCATCCCCAACGGAGACAGAGAGGAGAGCAGAGGAGACAGAAAGGAAGCAGAGGAAAGCAGAAAGAGAGTGAGAGGCAGGAGGAGAAGAGAAAGAGATAGTGAGAGGCAGGAGGGGGAGAAGAGAAAGAAAGAGACGGAGAGAGAGGCAGGAGGTGGAGGAGAGCTGAGGGGGGGAGGCAGTAGGAGGAGGAGAGAAAGAGAGAGAGGTGGAGCAGAGACCGGAGGCTCAGGAGAGAAGACCGAGATAGAAAAGGAATAGGACGTGGAGGAGAGTCCCGAAAATCCCATCTTATGACGGGCTAATTGGCTAGTCATATATATAGTAGCCCAATGTCTGTGACTCTGTAACGCTGAAACAGTGGCTGTTCTCTCTGGGCTGCATGGGGAGTGCAGGGCCCAAATGACCGCTTGCGCCGCTTGCTGCAGCACGGCAGCCTGGCTGAGCGGCGCAGAAGTCAGCTAAGCACAATGGCGAGAGGCAACAGCACCACCCACAGGGAAAAGCCAGGGGGCGGGGCCTGGACGAGCATTTGTCTCTGACATCAGGAAAGGGCGCCGGATTCAAAAGGAGGAAAGCGGAGCAGACAGAGAGGAGAACGGAGGAGGCAGAGAGGAGGCGGAGGACAGCGAGAGAGAGAGTGAGAGAGACGCAGCAGTAGGAGAAGAGAAACACAGAGTGAGAGGCGGGAGGGGGAGAAGAGAAAGAGAGAGATGGAGAGAGAGGCAGGAGGCAGATGAGAGCTGAGAGAGACCCGGGGGGGCCCCAGCTGAGCGGCACAGAACACAGCCGAGTGCCACGGCAGGAGGCGAAGGGTGGCAGAGCGGTGATGTACACGCCCAGGGGGCGGGGCCTGGATGAGTGTGCATCCCTGATGGAGACAGAGGAGAGCGGAGAGAAAGTGAGAGGCAGGAGGGGGAGGAGAGAAAGAGAGAGATGGAGAGAGAGGCAGGAGGCAGATGAGAGCTGAGAGAGAGAGAGGGCGAGGCAGTAGGAGGAGAAGAGAGAGAGAGGCCGTTTGTTCTGCTTGCTCCCACGTGGTAGCCCGTGGCGCATAAGTCAGCCGAAAGCCACGGCGGGAGGTGAAGGGGGACGCGAAGGGGGGTGGGCGGTGACATACACAGTGTCTCTGGAGTCAGGAAAGGGTGCTGGATTCAAAAGGAGGAAAGTGGAGCAGACACAGAAGATGCGGAGGAGACAGAGAGGAGAACAGAGGAGGCGGAGAACAGTGAAAGAGAGAGTGAGAGAGACGAAGCAGGAGGAGGAGAAGAGAAACTCAGAGTGAGAAGCGGGAGGGGGAGAGAGAGGCAGGAGGCGGATGAGAGCTGAGAGAAGAGAGGGCGAGGCAGTAGGAGAAGAGAGAGAGAGGCTTTTTGCACTGTTTGCTCCCATGCGGCGGCCCTGCTGAGCGGCACAGAAGTCAGCCGAGCGCCTCTACGGGAGGCGAAGGGGGTCAAGATAGTGACGTACATGCCCGGGGGTGGAGCCTGGATAAGTGTGCATCCCTGACAGAGACAGAGGAGAGCAGAGAGGGAGTGAGAGGCAGGAGGGGGAGAAGAGAAAGAGAGAGACGGAGTGGAGAGAGCGTGAGAGGCAGGAGGGGGAAGAGAAGAGAAAGGGAGAGTGAGAGGAAGGAGGGGGAGAAGTGAAAGAGAGAGACGAAGAGAGAGGCAGAAGGTGGAGGAGAACTGAGAGAGGGAGAGGCAGTAGGAGGAGGAGAGAGAGAGAGAGAGAGACATGGAGTGAGAGACCAGAGGCTCAGGAGAGAAGACCGCCGTGGAGGAGAGACCTGAAAATCCCGTCTTATGACGGGGTAATTGGCTAGTAGTTAAATAAATGTACATTTTAAGGAGTTATTTATTCAGTCCTTAGCAAGTTGCTTGTTCTTAGAAACTTACACTGTAGGGATAACACAGGTTATCCCTGCACAAGCACAAGCACTGGCCCAGGAAATATGACCAAGGATAGTGTGACAAACTCCTACTCAACTGGGGAAGTGCCGTGAGGATCTTGTTGTAATTTAGATAATGTAAGCAGATGGAATGGAAATAGAAACTGAGGCCTCTAATACTACTTTCCCGCTTAAATTTTCACTGCAAAATTGGTCACAGTGCAGTTGTGTTTCTGTGAACCTAGTTCTGCTGTGGAGACTAATAACCTCTGCCCTTCTGTGGTGCCCACATTGGGATGTGAGACAGTGGTGCTGGTTGATGAGGGAAGTATAAATCTTTTGTGGATCTCCTTCCATTTTATTCCCCCTGCCTCCCAAGGTTCCACATGGAAAGGTCTGGAAGGTTGCATGTGACAGGGTTCACAATGGGCACCTAGTGTTATTTCTGTGGAATTAGAGCATTCTTAGATTTCTGCACAAGATGCCCAATACACATGTTTCCAGCAGTGGGGTTTGCAGAGCTCATCCCATTGATCTGTCTTTGCCTGACTTGCAGTGGATGCGGGCCAGGTGGACGTCTGACCCCTGCTATGCATTTTTCGGCGTGGATGGCACAGAATGCTCATTCCTCATCTACCTCAGTGAAGTCGAGTGGTTTTGCCCTCCACTGCCTTGGAGAAATCAAACAGCAGCCATGCCTTCCTCAAAGCCACCAGCTCGAGTACAGGTAAGGGCAGGGCGGGCCTTTGTGCCAGCCTGTCCCCCCTCCTTTCAGTATATTCTTCTGTGGGCTGCTGGATCAACATCTCCAGGCAAGAGAGTAAAGTCAGAAGCTGCAAATGGTTCTGAAAGAAATCTGTATTAGAGGGTCTATCAGAGCAAAGAGCCTTGAATTACAGATGGTGTCCATATCCCTGTCAAATGGGAGCTGGCTTAGCATTTGTTTGGCTGAGACTATGTGTTATGGCTCCTTCCCCACTCTGGCATGATATATGCAGGAGTGGGGGCCAGCAAAAGTACCCCAAAACCTTATCTACCAGGCTTTGGTATAAAACTTCCCTCCAAAATCTTAACAACCTAGATTTTGGGGATAGAATCTCCGCTGCCACCACCCAAGCGTTGATACAAAAATCAGGGGAAAGGTCACTTGGGAAATCTCACCCCTAAAGAAGAAACCAGAGCACAACCATTAACCAATACGGGTCTGTCTACACTACCACCCTAGTTCGAACTAGGGTGGTTAATGTAGGCAACCGGAGTTGCAAATGAAGCCCAGGATTTGAATTTCCCGGGCTTCATTTGCATCTCGCTGGGCACCGCCATTTTTAAATGTCCGCTAGTGCGGACTCCGTGCCGCACGGCTACACGCGGCACGGACTAGGTAGATCGGACTAGGCTTCCTATTCCGAACTACCGTTACTCCTCGTGACCCTAACCCTAGTGAAACGAGGAGTAATGGTAGTTCGGAATAGGAAGCCTAACAGTTCCTAGGCACACCTTTCGGGAATGGAGTGTTCATTTACAGTTCTGGAGGATACTGTATGGCCCAACAAGAAGTCCCACTTAGCCATAGTGTGGGCAGCCTAGGCTCTCACCTAAAGCAGGCCTGTTTGGAAGTTGAGACTCTTCTCTTATGGAGATATACTTATCTCATAGAGCTGGAAGGGACCTTGAAAGGTCATCAAGTCCAGTTCCCCACCTTCACAGCAGGACCAAGTACCATCCCTGACAGATTTGCCCCAGATCCTTAAATGGCCCCCTCAAGGGCTAAACTCACAATCCTGGGTTTAGCAGCCCAAGGCTCAAGCCACTGAGCTATCCCTCCCCCCATGCTTGTCACCTTCTGGCCTCTTTTAACCTCACCTCACTCCCCACAGGGCCCAAGACCCATTCCAGCTCAGCAAGTCTGTCCCTTTCCCTATCTCTTATCTGGTGCTGCCCAAGTTAGGAACTGATGCTAACCAAGGGTGCCGTTCCTTCTGTGTAACACATAGTGGCTGATTTCACCTTGCCCATGTGTTTTGGACAGATCAGCCAGAGGATGACTGCACTTGCTCCAGGAAAAGAACCAGCCAGGCCAGTTTCAGGAGGGGTTGGACTTAGCATGGCTCAGCTGTGCCTTCACTGCTGCTCCCTGTGCTTTGCTGCTATTTCCCCTTGTGCTAATGTGATGAGAGGCTGGATGGGTCCATGTACACAAGCAGGGGACTCACACGCTGGCTCGTCACGTAGACATATCCTAAAAAGCAGACTCTCTTTTTTTCCTAGGCAGCTTTTCGGAACAACCTCTCTTACCTTCTTGAGCTAATCGGGAGTGGCAAGGAATCCTTGATCTTCATGAAGAAGAGAATCCGGCACTTGGCCTCACAGTGGCTTCTGGCGACCCATAGCCTGGCACAGAAACTGAAGGGCAGACAGAGGGATCAAAAGCAGGTGAAGGATGAATTTAGGGAGAATTATTTTGGACTGACACGTCCTTTGCATTCACCTCCAGCACCAGTTGTACTGCTTGTACCACAGTAAACTGAAGGTTGTTCAGGATGAGCTAGAAAGTCCCTTAAATCTAGCCTGTTTCCACTGGGGGAATGAGCTGGTTGTCCACAGTGAATCATGAGCATGTCTCCTAACTACATTCAGAGCGCCTTAAACTCAGCTTCTCCTGAGCTGAACACTTCAGTAGCCACATACTACTTGTGCCTTCAGAGACTGGTGGTACGACAGGTAGAGGTGTCATTCCTGAGGACGTGCAAGCTAGGTCAGCAGTCCAGCCACCTGCATTAGGCTGGGCTTAGATAGAGACAATTAAAGACTTCTCAGTCCTTGTGTAAATCAGTCACCCATCCTAATGTCCATGGGCCAAATGCTGATGCATGTTCTCATTCATCACACAGACAAAACTGCAGTCAATGGCCCTGAGTGATGCTGAGCACCCACAATGCCCACTGAAGTCCATGCAGGCAGTCAGAGCTGGCCACCTCTAAAGAGCAGGCTTCCTACTTTGGTGCCAAAACATGGATTTAAGTGGGCACCAAGTTTGGAAGAATCATCTAGAGAGTTTTGCCTGGGTGAAGGCTGAGTAACATCTGCATGAGGACCTTAGAGTCTGGCTCCCTCTGTAGTTTCTCTTGCTCATCATTCAGTCTGGCTCCCTCTGTAGTTTCTCTTGCTCACCATTCTCATGTCTGAGTTCTGCCTACATAGCCATGTTTCATGCTGCCTGGCCATCACAGCACCATTCTCTCTCCTTTTCTCTCTAGATCTTGGTTCACATTGGCTTCCTGACAGAGGAGTCAGGGGATGTTTTCAGCCCCAGGGTGCTGAAGGGGGGACCTCTAGGTGAGATGGTCCAGTGGGCAGATATCTTAGCTGCCCTCTTCATTCTTGGACACAGCCTGAAAGTCACAGTGTCTTTGAAAGAGCTGCAGAGGTGAGTGCCATGTTGATACCCGTGTGAAAGAAATGATCCCAGCTGGCAGGGCTTGAGCCCATGACCCTGTCCTCCCTAGGAAGGGGCAGTATCCCCTAGGCCACACGGGAACTTGCCCCACCACCTTACTGTCAGGGCGCCCCTTATCCTTCCTGCCCTGGGGCTGCCTGGCTTTTGGCTGTCCTGTCCCAACTGCACCCGGGGGAGGCAGGACTTGAACCCACGACTTGAATGCTGGCCTAGGGACCAGGCCAGCATTGTCTGATGGGCTGTAATTTGAGAGTACTAACCTGTGCTGCCTTGGCAGCTTGCCCAGAAGACTGTTCCTCCAGGCATCCACAGGTTGGTTTGAACCATTAGGCCAGTGGTTCCCAACTGCCAGTCTGTGGACCAGCACGCTGCTAGGCCACGCCGCTGCATTAGTGGCTGGGCGGGGTTCCCTGCCAGCTGCACAGCAGGGGCAGCATGGCCGTGCAGCTGCTAATTGAGCCCCACCCACAAAAAGCTTCCTGGTGGGGGAGGGGCACTCCCTCAGCAGTAGAAGCTCTCTGCTCTGAGTGTGCTGGCAGGGAAGGGGTCATAAGGCAGAAGGGAGGAGGAAGGAGGGAGGAAGGATGTGGCTGGGACGGGAGGGGTCGGAGCTCCCCTTCCCTCTCTTCAGCGGCAGCTCCTGTTTTGTGGGAGCCTGGGCAGCTGGCAGCCCTCCACTCCCTGCCCCCTCCCGCTTCCCTCTCTCCGGCAGCAGTGCCATGTTTTGTTGGTCTGCTTTAATAAAATACTTTGGGTAGCTAGCACACTTTGGGGGGGAATAATAATAGTAACAATCCATTACAATGACATATATTGTGAGTGTATAGATGCAATGTAAAATAACAAGGTTAAATAATTATATTAATGATTAAAATAATTATAATAATGAATATGCAAATAAATTAATTGCCATAATGAATATGCAAATGTTTCTATACCAGTTCACCAAAAGCTTATGAATGAGTTTGCTGGTCTATGGTATAAAAAAGGTTGAGAACCACTGTGGTTGTTCGGACTGCTGTGTCATATCCCATAGATATGTCTGTAGCAGCCTGATGCTTTGCTTTGTTTTTTCAATCATCGTTACATTCAGCTCTCTCTGACTCACTCTGACGCTCCCCTAGGAAGCAGTGTAGTCTGGAGGATGAGGAATCAGAGACCCTGGATTCTACTCTCAGCTGTCATAGATGTATTGTCTTATCATGGGCCATTTGCTGCCTGTTCTCTGTGCCTCAGTTTCCTCAATGGTAATCATACTCTCTACCTCCCTCACATGAGCATTGTGGGGCTCAGTGAAGACTTTGAGGTTGTTGGATGCAGAGCATGAGGCTACATATGATGACTTAGGCCAGGGGTTGGAAACCTTCCAGAAGTGGTGTACCAAGATTTAACTTATTAACTTCTATTTATGGATCTTCATGCCGGGGGAAAGAGGGGAAAGGGGTAGGCTGGAGCACATTGGGTACGGTGACCATATGTTTTGAACTAGCTGCAGTTAGGTAGAATAGTTTAATTTAAGTTCTTAAACAGCGTAAGCATTTTAACTTTCTTATGTTAGTTTATCTAACTTCATCTTAAATAAAGTAAAATATTAACTTATGAACAACACAAAAGGTTTCAATATTTTCTTTTTTTATGGCAGGGTTGGGGAACCTTTTTTGGGTCGTGGCCACTAATCCACAGAAAATTCAGTTGAGGACCACACAAGTGAGAAGCAAAAAAACTCCTCCAAAAACCTTGAACCCTCAGTGATGTGGTCCCCAGCTGAGACACCTCACTCCTCTGATGCTCCAGCATCATGGGGTGAGAGCAAGGGACAGGGAGGATTGAGATTCAGGGTTTCCCATAGGCCAGATTTACTTTTTGGGGGTTCCAGAGTTAGTGGATTTTATGGACCTCCTTAGGCTCTGGGGTAAGGACAAAAATGAGGGTTTCAGTGTGTGAGATAAGGCTGCCAGTGAGTGAGCTAGGGATGGGCGAGAGGTGGGGTGCAGAAGGGGGAGAGGTTGTGAAGTCTGGATGGGAGGTGGGGTGCAGAAGCAGGCTGGGAGTAGGGTGTCTGGCTGGGAAGGAGGGTGCAGGAGCAAAGGTGGATGCAGGAGCTGGGTGGGGGTAGGGTTTCTGGCCAGGAAGGAGGATGCAGGAGCAAGGGAGGGTGTCGGAGCAAGCTGGCAATGTGGGGTCTTGGTTGGAGGAGGGGAGTGAGTGAGGGGATTCAGGTGTGGAGTCTGGGCATAACAGAGGATTCTTACTTGGCTTCATGTCCCCTTGCAGCAACTGCTGTGGCCACACAGTCCTGGGCTGCCCTGGGGGCCAGAGGCACCGCTACCACAGCCTAACCAGCTGCTGGGGAAGAGGGAGGGCTCTAATGGCTGTGCAGGGAAGGAGGGTCAGAGCTGAACTCCCACCATGCGTGCCTCTGAAAATTGGCTTGCGTGCCAAGTATGGCATGCGTACCGTAGGTTGCTGACCCCTGGAATTCCTTACCTAGAATTTATCTGGAATTCACCCTGTATCGGGGTGGCCAACCTGTGGCTCCAGAGCCATGTGCAGCTTTTCAGAAGTTAATATGCAGCTCCTTCCATAGGTACCAAATCCAGGGTTGGAGCTGCAGGGGCCAACTTTCCACTGGGCAAGAGGATGCTCACTATTCAACCCCCAGCTCTGCCCTAGGCCCTTTCCCCCTCTACCTTTTCACCCTAGCATCCTGCCACTTTCTACCCTCTCCTCTGAGCCTGTCACACCCACGCTCCCCCCCTCCAGTGTCTCCCACTGAGAGGGAGCTGATCCCAGTGGGCAGGAGGAGAAGGAGAAGGAGGCACTGACTGGTGGGGCTGCCAGTGAGTGGGATGTGCAGAGAGTGGTGGTGGAGAGATAAGTAGGGCTGGTGATATATTACTGTTGCTCTTTGGCAATGTGCGTTGGTAAACTCCGGCTCCTTCTCAGATTTAGGTGGGCCACCCCTGCTGTACACCCTTACCACAAGCAAAGTGGTGGTTTACACTAGTGCACTTCATCCTGGCTCTAAGCAGGGGCAAGAAGCTGGGTTGCAAATTCCAGCTGATAGTAGCTTACACTGGTGACTGGGTTAGGGCTGCCAATGTAAGTTGTTCGTGTTTCTAGAGTCTTTAGTTCACAATTAATCTTTAATTCCTGGAGCCTCCAGGACAATCCTGAAGAATTGGGAACCCTAATCTGGGCGCCAGTCAGATGGGAGCTGGCTTAGCATTTGTTTGGCTGAGACTATGGCTCTGTATACCTTAAGCACGTGCATTAATCTCTAACCATAACACTACGCATTCTTCAAGCATCAGAGGAGAGCAGTGGCACTGATGCAGTAAAAGCTAGCATAGTTTCCTAGCATAGTGTTTTCCTGATCACACTTGGTCAGTGGCGCAGTGATCTACCACTGCCCACTCAGGGTGCATCTGTACTGCAGGGCTTAACTCGGAATAAGCTACGCAAACAGTGGTTGATGTCCCCAGTGAAGACAAGGCTGGAGACATCCAGAGGTAGGTCTGGTGTAAACTCCAGTGGGCAGAACCTAAGGAGCACTTTCCTTCACAGCCTAGTGTCAGACCCTGCTGAGCTTCATCTCCTGTAGCTCAGCTCCAACAGCATTTCTGACCTCCAAGGCTCTGCCCCCAGCATGAGGTCTCCAGGGCTATGTCTACACTGTCAGGTTCTTGCTCAAGAACAGCTGTTCTTGCACAAGAACCCGCAGAGCGTCCACACTGCCCGCCCGCTCTTGCACAAGAAGATTTACGACGTTGTGCAAGGGCTTCTTGTGCAAGAGCAACACTCCTTTCTAACAAGTGTAAGCCCTCTTGTGCAAGCGGGCAGTGTGGACACGTGGCAGGAGCTTCTTGCACAAAAAAGCCCTATGGCTAAAATGGCCATCAGAGCTTTCTTGCGCAAGAGAGCGTCCACACTGCCATGGTTGCTCATGCGCAAAAGCACATGGAAGTGTGGACGTGTTCTTGCGCAAGAAGCCACCAGTGTAGACATAGCCCAGGAGTGAATTACTCTAGAACTAGACATCGCCTCTTGTGGCTCTTGGGAAGCAGCTCTCTGCCTTTCCCTTCAGCCATGCCAGCATCTCCATATGACTCTTTCCATATGACTTTTTCCCTGTCCTCTGCCTGCACTGGGCAGAGGAGTCAACCTCATTCAGAGGGTTGCTGTTGTGAGTCTGCTTATGTATGAGGCCCAGGCTCGGTCTGGACTAACCCTCAGGAGCTCACCACTTCTCCTCCAAGCACCGGCCCTGCAGCATGTCCTACAGACAGCGGGAGAGGACAGCTGGGCTTAGTGCATGGAGCAGAGAGACTACGGTCCTGGTGTAAATTAGGAGGAACTCTGTGGATTGAGTTACATCAGTGTAAAACCAGTGTAAATGAGAAGCAAATGGGGCCTTTTATAGTTTTTGAATTAACAGACCTGCTGGGAAGCCCTGGGAAGTGAAGCTCACCAGGCCCTGAAAGTCCCCTTTGTTGTTTCAGACTCAGATTGCATTTGCAGTTAGAATCTTTGCAAACAAAGCCCCCAGAATAGCCAGTGTAGGAGTGGCAGGTGCAGGTGCGCTGCAGGCCAGCTTGTTCCTCCCATTGCACCAGAGCCGTTTCAGTTCCAGTTAGCATCTCCAATGACTTTACTGGCATTGTTCTAAAGTTAGTAGCTCCATGCCTGTTAAGCCCCTTCCTTCCTTCCTTCCTTCCTTCCTTCTCCTTCTTCCTGACGAAGGAGGAGAGCATAGCAGCTGGCGTGAGCTGTCAAAAATAGCACAAGAAGCTCAAGGGCAAAGCAAGGTGAACAGCTGCAAAAGAATCTCTGCAAGGAATTTTTAAGTACATGAGAAGCAGGAGCCTGCCAAACAGTCTGTGGGGCCACTGGCCAATCGAAGTGCTAAAGGAGCACGCACAGGAAAAGAAAGCTGTTGCAGAGAAGCTAAATGAATTCTTTGCATCAGTCTTACAGCAGAAGTTATAAGGAGATCCCTGCACTTGAGCTGTTCTTTTTAGGTGACAAATCTGAGGAAAGTCTGAGACTGAGACAGCCATAGAGGAAGCTTTGGAACAAACTGATAAATTAAACAGTAATAAATCACCAGGACCAGATGGGATCCACCCAAGAGTTCTGAAGGAATTCAGACATGAAACTGCAGAACGCCTAACTGGTGTTTAACCCACTGCTTAATTCAGCCTCTGTACCAGATGTCTGGTGACTTGCTAATGTAATGCTGATTTTTGAAAAAGACTCCAGAGCAGATCCTGGCCAGTAAGTACCAGGCAAATTGGTTGAAACTATTGTAATGAACACAATTATCAGATAGATGAACATGGTAAGTTGGAAACAA